CGAGAGAGGATTCCCTAACATCCGAGTTTGCTTCAGTCAAACTGCAACGATTACACACGGAACTAATTGATTTACGTGAGGGACTCGTTCGACCAGCATCAATTGCGTAGACAACACTTCTATTGTACACTTGCTGTCCTCTAAAAACTTCGTACTGTATCAGGTTTGTCATTTCAAGTTTACTCTATTGTAATCGTTGGGAACGAACTTGGTGGACCTGAGTCTTATCATGTACGACAGGATTTCAGGTTTCATTTTAACTGTACACGAATCAAGTCAAACCGCGTCCAGTTGTTTTGCTTATTTTTCGAAGTCGGCACAGTGTGTTTAGTGCACTGCTCACATCATAGCGTAATCCGGTGCTTTTATGCGCTAAGCATTGGACGTTAGCCCTAATGCATACAGGTTATGCATGTAAACTCCGGCACTTGGTATAATGCATGTTCGGTACATACCTAATGCAGTGCATTACAGTAGGTATGCTCAGGTGATTGGGAAGGCTCCCGACAATTCCACATTTTCATTTCCGTCATCTGGTTAACGCATTCTTGCCAACGCGTATGTTTCAAGCTTCTCTTCCATCAGTTTTGGCCGTCGTGTGCGCTCTTCTAACCCTCGTAGCAGCCGGCGTTCCCATAAATGGGCCCGTAAACAGTAATGAACACCTTCAAGCGCTATCGAAAGTACCCGCACTTCGGTTGCAAGCTACGCTAACGGGCAAGAATATGTACATCCATGGACGGTCTCCCTTCGACGTATTTGCGAATCCAGTCGTGTCTGAGGACAACACACTGCGGTACGACGGCATCGCTAACTTCGTTCAAAACGACGCCAGAATCACGTACATGCTCGCAGACGGCGTATCGTACATGGTGGAAAGCTCCAGTACCTCAGCAACATCACAGAAGGCTCGCTGTCTTCCGTCGATCTTACCGTTCGAGAACATGCTACCAGCGCTCAACAACATTAGCTCAGTTTCAAGCGCGTCCGTCGGAGGGAAAGCTGTCGAGTGTCCAAACGGAGCGCTGTTTCAGACATCGTTTGGTGGGGTTCAGTTCGTCTTGTGTTCATCGGGTTCGTCGGGTTTTGCTGCGTACGGACTCGATGTCACGATGACAGCGGAATATCTGCAGAGTCCGACCCGTAACATGTCGGTACCAATGACGAAGGACGCGGTTCGATCTTGTCCTGTTGTAGTAAAACCCGCACCAATGACACCAACAGCACTCGCACTGCTTACAGGTGAAGCTCTGCCACCCGCTTCCAGAAACCTGAAAGAGGCTATATCAACAGGGTTTCCTAAAAATATATTGTAATAAGCAATAATTGCCATATTATGCCATACCATTATGTATTTCGAGCCGCACGACTCCCCCGTCAATAACTTATTTCGGTAGATTTAGTCCAGAGTAACATATTTTGTCATTTTGAAATCAAAAATTTACTTATCATAACCCTATTGTATTACTTAGTAACCAATAAGAAAGCGGCCGCTGGAGCTACTCGACAACCAACCGTTCATGCTGCTGCTCTGAGCTGAGGCCAGGCTCATTTGTAAATTCCGTGCTGGCATGGATAATCTTCTCTCCCCAACGCGATCACCAGTTTCTCGCTACACCAGAAAGCAGATCTGCGATGTATTTTTCAAGCCAATCCGTGACGAGAATGACGACTGTATGGGTTTCTATCGATGTCGCTGCGGCGTACAGCGGAAACAGGACGCCAAACGTGGCTACACGAACCTAATCAACCACATTTATAGTCAACATCCTGATTATGAAACTACTCTAGACAGTTTTCAAGGCGGCAACAATGGCACACTCTTGTCGTTCGTAGACAAAAAGAGCGCCAATATATTTGGATGGCTAGAGTGGATTGTTGATGCTAACTTGCCGCTCTCATTCTGCGAGAACAGCCTAACGCGACGCTACACGACCCTCAAGCCCATATGTGATGATACCTTGGTCCACTACATGGCAGCTGTTTGCCAGGAAGTGCTGCGCACGTTCAGCGAATTTCTCCCTGAAAGATTTGGTATCGTATTTGACGGGTGGTCTTTCAAAAGTGAACATTACGTGGGGGTCTTTGCCGCTTTTGGTCATGATGGTAAGCGGGAGACTGTACTATTGGCGATGGCGCCTCTACTAGACAAGGAAGACTGCAACAACCATCCCCATCACGATGCTGATGCACATGTTGCGTTCCTCAAGACGATTTTAAAGCCGTTGAAGCGGCGCATCGAATGTGTCCGCTTCCTGGTCGGCGACAACTGTTCCGTCAATGGAAGCATCGCGTCAAAGCTGGGGATTCCGTTGGTCGGCTGTGCCAGCCATCGACTAAATCTCGCTATGACCCAGTATCTGGACGAGTATGAAGACATTCTGGAGAAAATCAACGATCTTATGAAGTTCCTGCGTGGTCTCAATCAGTCGGCAAAGTTAAGGTAAGCCGTATCTGAGTTTTATTCTATATCCGAGTTTTATTTAATTTGTTTTTATGCGGACTACAAAGACACAAAACACCACTCCGGCCAGTTATTCTCCAAAAGACTCGATGGTCCTCCATGTTTGACGTGCGGGAATGCTACTTCAAGCTCATGCCCTTCCTGGACTCCGCGGATGACGACTTAGCACCGCACATGCCATCCCCACTGGAAGAGAGGTTCGAGCTGTCGAGCGTTGAAACTTGGAAGGATTT